AGTCTAAATCGTGACACATTAAAGTCATAAGAACAGTCCTAATCTGACAACATTAAGTCATAGAAACAGTCTAACTAACACATTAAAGTCCATAGAAACAGTCTGACACATTAAAAGTCATAGAAACAGTCTAAATCTACACCATTAAAGTCTAGAACAGTCTATCTAACACATTAAAAGTCATAAAACAGTCCTATCTAACACGTTAAAGTCATAGAAAACGTCTATCTGACACATTAAAGTCATAGAAACAGTCTAATCTGACACATTAAAAGTCATAGAAACAGTCTAAGTGATCTGGACACATTAAAGTCCATATTAAACACAGGGCCCGTGATTAACAGTCAGAAATCGCAGGTGTTGTGATGTGATGGAACATGAGCTGACCTGCTGAAATAAAGAGCTGGTTTGGACCTTTCCACTCTTCACCTGTGAACTCTGCTGTGCTGATCAAGTGGATGATCAAAAGAAAAAAAAAAAGTGGGGGGGAAATGAATCAGATAGGATGATCAGTGATATAGTGGATGATCAGTTGGATGATTCAGTGAGTGGAGACGTATAACTGCCCTGTGGTCTCTGCAGGGAATATCGGACTCAAGCTGTACGGACAAACAGAGGGAGAGTACCTGCCGGCCACTCAGGGGTCGGGGATGGTTTGTGGAAGTCAAAGATCCTGAATGACAAGGTGAGCAGAGGAGTGTGATGTGTGTGTGTGGTGTGTGTGGTGATGTGTGTGTTGTGTGTTACTGTGTGTGTGGTGTGCTCAGCGGTTCACCGGCTGTACCGCATCTGTTTGTTTCCAGCAGGTGAATATCTGTCCCGGCCAGATACGGCTTCTGAGGGAGGTTCCACCATTCCACAGTGTCGCAACACACCTGGAGAAAAGCATCAGATCTGTCTGCCCACCTCCAACTCCTACCAGAGTTCTCTCTGTTCGCCGGAGGCATGCTGGTGAGGAAGCGCTCTTTATTCTGTACTACCACTCCATTTCCATTTTAATTTAATAAGCGTGTTGTGTAATAATATAATTGAGGTGGTTCTTTACTCACCGCTGAACTCGGTGTGCAGAGGGTTCCACCCTGGATATACCAGGTAGGCGAACACGCCAACAACTAACGCCGAGATCGCCTGGCCAAGACAAACTGCGGAGCTGCAGCTGAGAGTGCGCAGCTGGGTGGAGCAGGTGGACCAGATCCAGCGAAGGAGCGAGAGACTACCAGAGGGTCAGTCCTCTGTGTATTTAAACATGATTACAGCAGATTTAATTAGTCATTTAATCGCAGCAACCTTTGGACATTTTGGTTGTTTTCTTAGTATAAATTTGTTGAAGGTCTTTAATGTCGAAATGTGCTTATGTTTGTAAAAAACGTCTGCAGTTGTTTGAGCACGCACCCCTGCTGTCCTCTCTGTCCTCTCTCGATACAGCCAGGAGCGTTTCCGTCAGACAGCGAGAGCAACAACCAGCGGGTCTCTGGGTGTCCATCGTCCAGACCGCTCATCCTGGTGGCCAATACCGGCATCATGGCAGATGAAGACACCTCAAGAGCTTCTATTCGAGGCCAGAAACTGAGAATGTAAACGTTCTCTCCGGGGGAAGAGAGTCGTGAAGGTCTGAGTCTGTGCTGTGAGTGGTGAGAGTCTGAGTCTGTGTGTGAGTGTGGAGAGTCTGTGTGTGAGTGTGAGAGTCTGTGTGTGAGTGTGAGTGTGAGAGTCTGGTGTGTGAGTGTGAGTGTGAGAGTCTGTGTGTGAGTGTGAGAGTCTGAGCTCTGTGTGTGAGTGTGAGAGTCTCAGTCTTGTGTGTCGCAGTGTGAGAGTCTGTGTGTGAGTGCTGAGAGTCTGTGTGTGAGTGTGAGAGTCTGGTGTGAGTGTGAGAGTCTGTGTGTTTGAGTGTGAGAGTCTGTGTGTGAGTGTGAGAGTCTGTGTGTGGTGTGAGAGTCTGGTGTGAGTGTGAAGTCTTGTGTGTGAGCTGGTTGGTGTGAGAGTCTGTGTGTGAGTGTTTGGTCTCTACTGAGTGATGCAGTATCGAGCGGCGGTGGCGACGGCGGCGGTCGCTGCTGTCGGAGGAGGAACTGCCGAGGAGACGGGATGCGGAGAAGTCCAGCTGCACAATTCGGCCTGAAAACATCTTCAGATTATTGTAATTATTGAGCCCTTCACGTTTGCAGTAGACTATCAGGGAAATGTGACATCTCTATTTATTACACAGGTTTCTTCTACGTTTATTTGTCCCCGCTAAAGTTCTGCAGCAGCGGGACAAAAGAACCAGCCAGCCGGGCAGATAGTCTTCGTATTTGATGTGTTTGTTTAAATTGATTTTCTCCTTTTGTTACTCACTGCGATGAGAACATGATGTGTTACTGGCCATTAGAGATGTTGGTGCATGAAGAAACAGCAGTTTGGTTCACATTAAATATCAGTCAGGCCTCTGATAAAGACACAGTTTATAATCTGGATTCATTACGCAGGAATATCTTAATCCCTGATTGAACAGAAACAGAAACACGAGGACGTTTGGTAATAAGGAAACACCGATACACATGTTTGTTGTTATTTATTCGCCCTTTTGTGCTGGGAAACGATGAAAACTGAAGCGACAGACAAACATCGGCCACTGATATCGGTGGATGGCGTTTATCCACAGAGGGCGAATATCGGCCGGTAAACTGGTGGATCCCTGTTTGTAAATCGTTAACGCCTTCATTGATTCTCCTCTGAACTTTCCTTCCTTGTTTCTGCTGCACATCCTGAAACACTGCCCCCGCTGGTCATGGGATTAACTGCATCTTGTGGACGTGCAGCGTTACGTGTATGCGACCTTTCTTAGGCCCCGCCCCTTTTAGAACCTCTTTTCCTGTACCTAGATATGCTACATGCTAAGCTAATCTATATTGAAAAAGACAACCACATTTAGAAGATGGTTAAAAGACGAGAGACACAAATATAGTCACATCTTAAATTAGCAAGTGTTAGCAAAACAACTTAAAATGTGACTATAGATTTGTCTCTTTAATCTTTTTACCATCTTCAAAATGTGGTCGTCTTTTCAACGTAGATTAGTTAGACCAAAAAAGGGGCGGGACTTATGGAGGGTCAATTGTGCCACCGGCTGTGAAATATTGAAGCTTTCTACCAGAACTTTGGCTCCAATACAAACACTGATTTAAATACCTGAACAACCAGCACAAAGTTCAAGGTTTCAGTTTCCACCCGCAGAACTTCGCTTGTCGTTACGCGAGAGACGAGTAAAGTTTGGTTAAAATATTGATCATTTATGAGGTGAAATATTGATCGAAGCGCTACAAAAGATGAACATTTTAGTGTTTGTGACAACGTTGTTCTCAGCTTTCAGACAGAGTTTGTGTGAAACCAAAATATTTCTGCCTGTGAGTGGATCATTTTCACGATGTCCAAACTTGAGCTGCCAACAACCATTCATCTGTCAATCATTTTCTCCATTGATCGACTCGCTGTTTGGTCCAGAAAATGGTGAAACATGTTGCTCAGCATCCAAAGTGACATCCTCATCTCGCTTTGTCCACAACCCAAAGACATTCAGTTTACTGTTAATATAATAATAATAATAATAATATATAAAATATAATAAATATTCACCTTTAAGAAGCTGAAATCAGAGAATTTTGACATTTTTTTCTTTAAAAACGATGAAACGATTATCAGAATAGTTGGTGATTAATTTAACAGTTGTTGCAGCTCTAGAAGGAACTGAATGTATGTTTCTGTTCATCTGATTCTGGCTAAAGGAAGAATATTCTGAATCTTCTGCGGGTCTTCGGGGCAGAAAGCAGATTTCAGAGGGGCTTTAGATCTCGAGGCGTCCATTAAACCTCGTAGCTGTTGCTGCTGCCAGAGACGCTGCCCGTATGGATCTCTGTCTGATTCGTTCTTTTTGCTTTGAACCCAGCTGTCTGCTGTATTAAAGGCAGCGTTTGAGAGCGATGTCAGAGTGTGGATCTCCTGAAGGAAACCATTAAATGTAAAAAATGCCCCAGCACTGCGTCGCCACCCAAAACCGGTCAGATGATCTTTACCTCAAAACACAAACTAGTCGTCCCTCACTCTCTAAATGTTCAGCTTCCACGTGATCCTCAGTGAATCAACCTGAGGAGAGAAAAACCTGAATCAGATTGTAAAGAAGCTTCGGAGGTTTTCATCTTCAGCTGTTCAGACTTTGTTCCTTTTTACACTTTTTCTTTCTTCCTCTCTGGTGGTTTGTGTTTTATGTTGCTGGTAGATTTCAGAAATGTTTTTGGGGGTTATACTTTGAATCAGTTGCTTTAGGCTGGAAAAAGGGGCTTGGATTTATTTTTTTAGAGAGATTCTGTCCATGTGAAATCTGTCTAAAATTGCACTCGAAATAAAGTTTTGTCACATTTGGTTTAAAGGACTGAAAGTTTCTTTTATTGTTGTAATTTTCTTCATCAAACATCAGTTCAAAAAGTCTCTTTTATAGGTTGAGTATATTGTCCTTTAAAAGCTGCTTGACGTATTATAAGAGATATTAAAAGTATCATAAAAGTAAACAGTACAGATGTATTGTCAGCAACTGTCAGTGTTAAATTGTATTTTTGTTTAATTATACTTTACTGTCATAGCTGCCACTGAGGTTATATATTATATATTTTTGTGTATTTATTCATATTTAATATACACATATTGGACACATATTTACAAGCTGATTCCAGTATTATTGTTTTGTTGAGGAAACTAAATAAAGACAACTGTCCAGTGAAGTAGTG